TCCGACTGCCGAACGCTACTCGCCATCGTATAAACAAGCAAAGAGAATACTTGAGCCAGATGGCTACGGAGTATACATGCAGTCACTGAATTAGCAATAATACTCAATACTCAATATATAACGAATCATCACGGCTTCGGGGCGTTTCTCCAGGGCGAGCAAGTAGACTATCACGGCTGGTCATCAGGCGTGACATGCCCCTCCCCGTAGTCCCAAGTCTCTTGAGAGAGAGCTAGCCATTCACGGGCGGACACACCTTCATCTGCAACGTCCCACACGATGAGTACACGATCATCTTCGCTTCGATCAACCAAGATGGTACCCCAATGATAATCCCGGAAGCCATCGGCGTGTGACAGCAGGACTCTAAGTCTAGCACCGACCAGAGTGGGACCTGCGTGCACTTCACAAGCAAGCTTCAACGGGTGCAGGTTGTAGTGATTCTCGATGGTGATCCTCTCTGCTCCAGCCCGTGGTGACGAGTGCAATACTCTGTATCTGTGCGTAGATAGGCAGCTGACAACCCATCCGGTTCGCCAGCATGCGTCCTGCTTCCGCGACGGCTGATGAATGATGACCGAGTCACCCACTCGGAAGGGTTGCGTAGGGCGGCTACCCCCGCTTAACGTTTCGAAGACTGCTCGACGACGGGCCGGAAGGTAATGGTTGACGAATGATCTCATTAGATGTGCGCGACGGCCGACGAAAGCAGACTTCTCAGCATCATCCATCGCCTCAGAACTCCCTGCAAGATCCGGGGTGATCAACCCCACTCCTTGGTGACCTCTCAATGAATAGCCGAATCGCAAAGAGTTCGGGGTGAGTGCGACTACCCGAGCGTCCTGGGTGACGTCGCCGCTAGTCAAAGGACGCGAGTTGATGATACTGCACACCTCGTCGCAGAAGTCCTGGGCAACAACCGAGTTTCCCCAGTCACAGTTCCTACTGTAGCCGTGAAACAAGACTCGTGCTGCTTTGAGCCCGATCCGGTGATGAGTTTCGAACCCGCCGGCCCAAGGGGCTCTTGGGTCCTGCAACACGACTTGCGCGTTCAGCCGTCTCCCTACCTCCATGGTGTAGGTCCTGCTCCCTACCGCTCCATCACACACTATGTACCGGAACCTGCAACCGCCTTGCCGGCGAGCGACCCTCTCAGTCGCCTCAAGCAGTTCTTCAGCCGTCTGGCCGCCACCCAGCGCGATCCAGCAGGCGTGTTTCGTAAGGAGGCAAACGCACGTCAGGCACTTGAAGGGCCCAAGGGATAGGACGTCGATGCCAACCCAGAGGTAGGGCTCGGGGGTTTCGAGGGCCAGCCTGTACAGATCGAATCCCGGGCCTCCCCCCGCTTGGCCGGGAGTGACCGCCCATTCGCGCCTACTGCTCAAGACCTGGCATCTCACACATGTCGCCATCTCGTTGGTGACCACTTGTCGGAGCCTGGGGGTAAAAAACCCCGCCTCAATAGCACGTTCAACGGTCGCCTGGGCACTGCAGTGTGCACCGGCCTTATGGTAGACCCGCGCCAGTAGCCGGCGTGTAAAGTTACAATCACTGGGCACGTAAAAGGCGAGGAACAGCTTGCCATCCGCGCCCACGCACTTGTAGAAAAGTGTGCCATCCTTATCGACATGGAATTTGGTAGGTAGCTTCCGGTTCTCCGCACCATCCACTACCGCGGCACGCGATGACCGCTGTAAGGATCGTATGAAAGACCAGACATCCTCGTCACTGTAGGCCGTGGGATAGTCCGACGGTATAGCCACTGATCCCGACCACGCCTGAAAGGCAAAGCGGAGCGTCTTCCATCCATGCAGAGCGCAGTCGACATCCCAGCTCCGAGAAGCCACGGTGTCGGCCAGGCCAACGGAATGTGTCTCGACCGGGGTATCACATTCCTGTAACTGACAGACTCGGTCGAAAGGCTGACCGATAGGCTCAAACTGGGGGACGTCGACCCTCTTGGCAACTGGCAGCTCACCCAGACGGCAGACAAAATCGTCCAGTTCCTGAGCGACTCGCACCGGTGGGTCGAGATGGTCTTGCATGAGCCGCCCTAGCTGAGACCCACCCCTGGTCTTACGCTCCAGAGCTCTCGAAAGCCTGTCGGCTCGTACGTTTAAGACTCCGGGGAGATGCCGCATACTGACTTCTACCCCATGGGCTTTGATCAGCACGATCTCAGCCCGAATTGCTGCCGCCAGTCTCTGCAGTGCCCGTGCTTCCAGTGCACGAGATACCTTGACGTCGTTGGCCCACCGAGCACAAGCGGCGTTGTCCGTCCGTATAACCAGAACGGCTCGATCGGGACTTGACTGCGAGGAAATCCAGGCTGTGAGTAATGTGCTGGTGAAGAGGATGCCACGCCACAGGGCCGCCAGCTCCCTTCTGTTACTGTGCCAACAGCTGGATCTCGCAGTCCACCGCCATGCCGCACTACCCAATTCGAATGTACCACAGTCGCCGACTTGAGCACTATCCGAGCCTACCCACAGCGAGAAGCCACCTCCGGTCAAGCTGGCATCAGTCTCTAGGATCAACCTCACCGGTTCGCTCTTGCAGGATCTCAGTAGCGACCGGTGCATACATTTATCAGCGGGAGTGAGCTCCCTCAGCCAGTCAAGTATGGCACAGTACGCTTCTCTCAAATGGTCGGACAGCTTGCCGATGTCGTACTCCGTACCCCAAGCTAGATGACTAAAGGCTCGTCCCACTATGGCTCGAAGGCAATCCGAGACCAGGCGCTCGATCGGATGGATTTGTCCCACATCATACGCAGCCGCGCCAGCCGCTTGGAAGGCCAGACGTTTGTCGGTGAGCGACACTCGAGAAATGCCTCAACTACAGACCACCGAGACTGTCGATTGCAGTCGAGAACTAGGTGGTTGTCGTCGAAGGAAGCTGTGAGGCCAAGAATCTCAACCCGCTCCTTCACCGGAAGCTGAACGCCGTATTGACGACACGCCTCCTTGAACTGGTTGACCACTGAGGAATGGACCAGGGCGGCCACCTTCGCCATCTGTGCGCTGAAACCGAGGAGCAGTAGAGCATAGATGACCATAGCAAACCCTGCGACTGCTATCGCCACATCGTCTGCCGACATGACGAGGTCGTCCACATACCACCGGATCACCATGTTGACTAAGGGCCACAGCTCAGTCAGCACGTTGCGGATGCTAGTCTCAATCCGGTGAATCCCTGTCGTCAAAGACCCAGGGCCGAAATGGAGGCCAAAGCTCACTCTCAGACACTCAAAGAGACCAGTAGCCGCCTGAATCAACACAGTATGACGCAAGAGCCTGCATTTGTAAAATGCGGCCTCGCAGTCGCCTTGTAGCAGCACAACATCTCCCTGCAAACGCATCGCGAGGATCAGAGTCCAGGGGATGACCCGTGGACTTGAAACTTTGCCTAAAGCTTGGTTAACCGGTCTACAGTCCAGCACCACCCTAGGCTTTCGTTCCCAGTTCGTGACGAAGCATGGACACGGCGGCAAAGTGATCCTAGTTGAAGTGACCTCGTCACCGGACACAGGCCGCCAGAAACCTCTCGCCACGTATGCCTCGATGAGCTTGCTGTACACTGATTTCTGGCCCTCTGCGAGCTTCTTGTAGGCATGCAGTGCATATAGACGGCTTTTGGCAGTGGCTATTGGAGTATCCGGGAGATCTACGAAGAGGGCCGCCACCTGTTCGACACAGTCCGGTTTGTCCTCTTTACTGAGGTTACGAAAAGCAAGTCGATACCCTGGCAAGGTTGGCTCTTGGAAAAAGCCCTCCGCGACCGAACGGTTTATCAAGGCCTTGACCTTCTTGGATAGATCTTCAGGCAAGGATGGCGTTAGATATTCCGTCGTGCATGCATCGACAAGTCTGGGCTGGGCAGCAGTAGTGGCACTGAGTTGATCAACATACCGAACGAAATCGGAGTTGTCCACGATAGGTTCGTCGGCTGATTTCTCAGCGCTGCGAACAACACCTGCACCCAGGTCCAAGCAGAGGCCCAAGGCTGCTCCGAGGTCGCGTCCAATCAGCATACATGTCTCGCTGTTTCGCTCATGGTTTGGGAGGACAGAGACGTTGACTGGACCGAGCGACGCCTCCAAAGGCTTTCTCACGGTCACGACAACCGCAATCATCTCCGTGATGCTACAGCGACTGCCATCAGCCAGTCCCACCCAAACCGCTGTGGGTATCCTATGAAACTTGGCCGACTCAGTAGTATGCTCAGAGGAGTTGCCGAACATTATATAGCTCTTGCCCGCCCCCGAGTCCACGACCCCGCGAATTCTTGATATACGGGCAGGTGGTTTATGGAGACCCACAGAGTTTGGCGACAGAGCAGCATCCACTATGTCGACCGAGATTGTTAACTCGGGTGGGGAGTCCAGTAAAACCGTGCGGTGTTGAATATCCAAGGCCACCGAGCATAGTCGATCCTCTACCGGATCCTTGTGCAAGGCGAGCGTGTACGACGATGGCGATGAAGGCATACTCACGGGCTGGGGGCTGATGGAGTGAGTAAGAACAGGACATGGCAGCTCTGTTCCAGAAGGCCGACTTATGTCGCATGACTTTGGTGTTGACAGACCTGCTTCCGGCTCACCTCTCGCGGAACTCGAACAGTGCGACCAGCTCAGGCAAGAGTTAGTGACCTGCTTCGGCATAGCGGAGGAATACGGGTAAACAGCATCAGGAACATCTCGTCCAGCTTGAGATTGCCCAATACCCCACGTGGACAACTGCGACGGTGAACGAGAGTTATGCTGATGAGAGGGAAGAGTATTAACGATCGACGGGGGTCCCTCAACCCGCGCCGACCTTAGCAGTTTCCCGACTCCATACTGGCGGGATTGGCAGAGCTTGAGACGCCCCGGAAGACAAAGGGGCGCTGCTTGTACCCTTTACCTTCTAGACGAGCGGTGGCCTCAATGGCGGAAAATTACCTAAACCCAAGCTCGCTTCCTTATCCCAAGCAATATCCCGTAATCCAAGCAAATGCCCTTAATCCAAGCTATATGGCGCATGCCATAATGTGCTTGGATTAGTGACAAGTAAATAAGGCCAAGCGAGCGAAGCGAGCTAGCCCAGCCTGGGCAAGCTGCCCAGCCTGGGCAGCGGCTGCCCAGGGATGTCTCCTGGGCAGCCCAGGAGATTTCTTGGTGTCTTCTCTGCTTGCGTCTGCTGCTTGTTGTGTTATAGTTCATAATACGTAAGGCTTCCGAAAGCTGCACACTTGGACGACCCCACACTGTGGGGCCCATAGTAAGGCTCTCAGTAATCGTTATGTTATTTGCTGTAATGAGTATTCGAGTGAAACTATTATAACACTGCGTGCTATATCAAATTGCTATTTCATTCACATATTTCTACTTTTCGGACTCCGAAATTCGGAGTGTAGTATATCCGTTACGCAGGGGTATTTAAACCTAATCAAATTAGGCGACTAAACCCCCTGACAAAATAATAGAACATACAGGATTTTTTCGATTTCTCTGCCTCTACCCCCTGCATAGACGGCTAGAGCCATCCTGCCCCAGCAGTGCTCGATGCAGTTCAGATCTGGACTCACTGCTGGCCACTGGACGATTGCCACGCCATTGCGTGCCAGCCATTATTTAGTTGAAGAAGATACGTGAGGCCTCGCATTGTCTTGTTGGAAGGTGTACTCGATTCCTTCCTCCTCCCCCGCTTCCAGGAATGGTAGCAAGTTCATCTCGAGCATGGACTGGTAGACCTTGCTGTTCATGTTGCTCTGTATTTCCACCAGGGCTACTTTATGAGATCCAGCTATCCCACCCCAGACCATGATAGACCCACCACCAAATGCTCTTTTCGACAGAACCGCTTTCTCTTGTCCGGGAAACATCCATCGGTAGCGCAGGCCGTCTGGGCCGTCCAAATTGAATCGCTTTTCGTCAGAGAAAATCCACGTCGAGAAATCAGTCTCCGCAAGCAAGTGCTCGGAGGCAAAACTCACTCGGGCTGCTTTATGGGCCGGAGTTAACCTTGGAGCTGTTGGAATCTTAGCATAAGCAGCCCCGCTCGACCTCAGAAAACGCCTTACCGTCTGTGGGGACACGCTAACCTTACAAATACGCACGATCTTGGTGCACGTGACGTCGGGATCCTTCGTAAACTCTCTCATGATGTGCCGTTTCTGCCTATCGGATAATACCGGCTTGCCCCCACGTCGCTCGGGAGGCTGGGGCGGGTAGGTCTGGGGTGCCTTCGCGAGTATCTTGCTGACAACTGGCCTGGATACTCCGTGGCAGCTGGCAATCTCACTATGGGTATATTTAGCCTCACGGTTCGGTAGGCGAGTGCTTCCCATGATACGGATGAGCTCCTGTGTATGTGGAGTAACAGCTCTAGCGCGGGGCATATGCGAATAGTCGCTCGGTGATCAATACGGATCCGTCTGAGATGGTGTTCTATTTTTTTGAAAGCGCGGGAAAATTGACCGTTTCAGAAATTTTACTAAAGCGAGCGAATAATGATACGACTCTGATATATTTTTGTTTCTACATAAGTGATACCCTCACACACGAAATCTCACAACCTGAGTCGCAGTAATAACAGAGAAATCGAAAAAATACTGCATGTTCTATTATTTTGTGAGGGGGTTTATATGTTATTGTAAGGTGTTATATGGTGTTGTTTGCTGGAGGCATCACTCGTACAGGCGTTTTTTGTATGTTTGTTTCATGACGTCCAATGAGGAGACGCAATGCGGCGTTTATCACTAGTCCACACGACCAGTGATGCGAGACAAGACTGTGATGAGTGTCGTGGGCATCTCCAATGGAGATTCTCCATGATCATCGCCACATGGATAAGAATGAAAAAGGAGAGGCTCTGTCCTTTGGTGGTAATAAATGATTACTGATGACTGTAGTGGTAGGGTGATGTGCTAGTTAGTCAATGCACTTCTATATCTTGGAGCTGAGCTCCAGGAGCTCGTGACAGGATAGAAAAACATTGTGAGTGAACCCTTGGAAATTCACGTTGTTTCCTATATCTTTAACCCTTGAGTTAGGGGCCTTGACCGTGTGTATATTTTGATAGTCTTGCGCTGCGTGCCCAACTCGTATAGAGTGGAACATGTGCCATGCGTCTAACTTGCCTAGAGTGGAACATGTGCCATGCGTCTAACTCCCGTCTTGAGTGGAACATGTGCCATGCGTCTAACTTGCCTAGAGTGGAACATGTGCCATGCGTCTAACTTGCCTAGAGTGGAACATGTGCCATTGCCATATCGTGGACTTCGTGATGCGTGAAGGCATCATCTCGCATTTGACGGCCTTCCAGATCCTGGTTAATATTGAAGTGTATTTTCTGGATTACGCCCGACGCATAAATAGACGGCAGGTGATGGACTTGTATCATGGGAACCGTGCTGATCTCGCACACCCGCATGGGACATTGTACCTGCCAGATACAGATACCTGCTGAGGTACCCACTTTCAGCCTCATGCTGCAGCTGCTCCTTTCCTCTCTGAGCTTCGTCAAGCTCAGCTTGTACCCGCTTGAGCTCCCTGGTCTTCTCTTGCACTTGAATGCTCAAAGATATTGACTCCTTCTCAGCGTGAACTCTAGCAGCCTTCGCACATCCAAGGTCCTAATGCCAAGAATGTAGACGAGTCTTCAATCTGATTGAGTCAATGACACTGACAAAAAGAGCGACAACTATAAATTCGGAAGGGCTACGAGCCTCAATCATAGAAGATAACGGCTATACACCCGAAATTATAAACAGAGAAATCATAAAAATTATGATTAGGGCCTAATAAATGCCATAGGCTAATCAATGCTTCCGTCCTGTTACCGGAAGTCTTCAATCTGTAACATCAAAATAAAAACAATTGCAGAACCTACATCTGACGCTCTCTGCAGTTGAACCTTCAGCTTTTGCATCTTCTGCTCGCAGTCCTCCGAAGCAGTTTGTACCTTACCACACTAATAGAAGAGTGTCACAGCAAGGACAATGGCCGGTAGTAATAGTAGTAGAATGAATTGAATCCTCACCTTCTCCAAGCTCTCACGGAGCATATTTCGATCAGCTATACTGTCCTTCAAGGCGGAAATTTCTCTAGCTAGTTGATCAACGTTCTGCAACATTTGTGAATTTTTGACATCATGAATATGATGACGTGGGTACACAATATTACTACTCGCGTCTCCTTGAGCTGACCACAGCGATCTTCAGGCTTGCTCCTATCTCCCTCAGCATCGTTCTGAAGAGCATAATAGACACAATTGCAAATATTTATAGCAAGTCGTAGGACCGTCCGAGGAACAATGATTTGAATCAAACTGTTTGATATTGGTTTATGATATAGAGTTCAACGGTACTGAGCTTAAATTCCAGAAAATCCTACAGCTCCAGCAAACAACCGCTCCTTTGTATTCTTCGCTCGTGCACGTCGTTTAGCAGATGCGCTTACATTAGACATTACGAGAAACACTCCTGCCAACGACAAGAACGTCACTGAGTGATAAGATATCGAGTGGTCATGTTGTGAGGATATACGCAAGTTGATAAATAACTCTCATTGAAACAGTCAGTTCACATCATGTGAATCACACGTAAAGTACAGTACATGAAATCAGAGAAAATCAACATACAACAACGGTCTGACACAATTCGGTCTCACACTTCAAGGGTCTAACACAGCTCACGGAAGAAAAGGTTGGGCATTCGGGTTTCAAATGAAACCCGAAATTCGGGTCCAAAGGCCTATAATCAACTAACGCAATTCATACCAGGAAAGGTTAGGCACGCTATAGTGGTCTAACGCAATCCATGAAAGGAAAGGCTAGGCACACTATAATGGTCTACCGCAATCCATCCCAGGAAAGGTTAGACACGCTACAGTGGTCTAACGCAATTCATACTAGGAAAGGTTAGGCACGCTACAGGGGCCTAACGCAATCCATATAAGAAATGGCTAGGCACACTGTAATGGTCTAACGCAATTCTTACCAGGAAAGGTCAGGCACGCTACAGGGGCCTAACGCAACCCAGCAAAGGCTAGGCACGCCACAACGCTCTATCAGGCGCGTTAGTAACAAACTGTGTAAAAGGAACGACTAGGTCATCCTGCTTAAATCTTTGACCACAACGGAGTCCCATCATATCAGAACTCGTATTATGGGCACCATCACCCCGATGATAGCACATGAACTTCGCGATGGAAATTATTACGCAGCGAATTTGGAGAGGCACATTAGTGAGTGTTGGTATTGCTGCTCTTCCGACTGTAGCACCCGATGCCATGATTATCTCAAAAGGGTAAAAACACTGACTCTCACCCTTGGTCCCATCTGCGGTCATGAAATCGGGCATCCATTATCATGCACCCACGAACAGATGAAAAAAGTGACGCATCACGGACTACACACGCGCGCGCAGACTATGGAGCATCATCAATCTCTGACAGCGTGAGACTCCCATGACAATACAGTTACGATGACAAAATTCTAGTCCTGAAACGTTGGTCCTGAAGTGCATGTCAAACTTCGAAACGGTTCGCAGGCAACTTGCCTGAGGCAAGGCGCATGATGCGCCTGATAAAGGCGCAAACAAACCGTGTCACTAAACTTTGTGTCCTAAATCACTAAATTAGACGCGCGCGCCCCTGTAATCGATTTATGCGCGCCTAAGGTTAAGAAAAAGAACATCCTTCACACCGTTGGATGGATAGACAAACATATAACTCGACTAACCGCTATTTTTATATGCCGTGCAGGCCTTTCCCGCATGAGGTATGATGTTGCTATTACTACCCGCTACCGCTAGATTCCCCTCCGTCAACGTACGTGATATCTTTTGACGAGAAGAGAGAGAGATACGCCTACGTCGGAGAGGCTGCTCAAACCTTCCTCCACGCGAACGGTATCAACGCAAACTGGCTGAACAGTTGTTCGATTAAGTGGGTGAAAAATCTCGCGTGTCAAGACTTGAGACGGAGATTATATCAACTGCTATTACTTGCCAGGTTCCACAAAGATCCAACAGGGTTAACGACACGTCAGAGAAAAAGTCTTCGAGAGGTCTGGCATCGGTATTCAGTCTTCTTTTTACCTACCGTGCTTCTTCCGCCGGAGAAATGCATTGTCGTGGATGCCAAGAAACTTTGATCGTCTAATAATCAGGGGCTTAGGACCGGTTACTTCTCTGTCAACCCGCAAACCAACAACTCAACTCGTAATGCGTCGATGAATTCACTTTCCACTCAATAATTCAGGACAAAAGTTTCGCTGACAAGTCCCCAAGTTGAGCAATCAAGTGCAAGTACATCAAACATTCCACCACTCCTGTGGTCGACCGAAGCTCGAAAAGCCCATCAGCATCATTAATAAGTGATCTTCGATGAGTCATACTGTTCGAAGTATAGTGATCTGCATGGTGAATGATATAGTGTTGGGTTTTGCAGCTCAAAAAAAACTTGGAAGGTAAATCAAAATGTAGCTCACAAAGCGAGAGTCGAGTTTGTCCAATGAGACATGGACTTGATACAGATCCGCCTGGCCCGCTGAACCCTCTTCGTTAACTTGCTTCCCTTCGGGTTTTTGGTTCATCTGTTTCTCTTCGGGTTTCTGGCTCATCTGTTTCCCTTCGGTTTTTGGTTCACTTGTTTCCCTTCGGTCTCTAACGCCGTTGAAACGAAGTCGCGCTATATATCGACTATAAGGGCGCGCGCTGAAATTTAGTGATTTAGGACACAAAGTTTAGTGACAGTGTTTGGACACGCCCACTGTTCACGAGTGGACAACACTTGATACCTTGAACACACTTGAACCTTCCATGACTAGGCTGCCGAGGAGGGTGTGGGTTCAGTTCCCGGTAATGGCATTTCTATTACATTCTTCATCATCTACGTATGTGTGGCGTCTGCGTGGTACTACTACTCAATGTTAGCATGAGCAGCATGAACATGATTATTGTTGAGTAGCATTGTATATTGATAATGATAATTGATATTAATAGTAATGCAGCAGCAGCAGCAGAAGATGATGATGATGATACGAAAGGGGTAGAAGAATCATCAGATAATACGATGAATAATATAACTCCATCATCATTATCATCAGAGAGTGTTGGAGAGTAAGTATATCATCATATTGTTGATTAGAATACTAGTAGTAATAATAATATTGTTGTTGTTAGATTGGATATAGAAGAGCAGCATACTACCATGTTAGGTAGTAATAGGATTAATTTCCCACCTAAACCCAGACTTAGACGATCATTATACTATAGGGAACTTGATGAGAATAATAAGGAGAATAATAAAAACGAAAGTCAGTTGTCTATTGTTACTTGCTATTTGTTATTATTAATATCATCATCATCATTTTAGATTCTTATCAATATTATAACGGTAGTAGATGTAATACTCATGATAAGAGTACATCTTGTCGTGATGATGATAATGATGAATTGATAGACGAAGATAAGGATGAGGATACTAGTTGTGTCCATCACAATATTACTACTACTACGATGGTGGCGGAGAAGGAGGAGGCGTCTAGTAGTAAGCAACAGCTGCGAGTAGAGAAACGTAGATTGAGAGGTATTAAAGATAGACTAATAAAGCGACAACAGAACATTAAACATGTAAGTAGTAGTAGTTATTATTGTTATTGTTATTATTCTTTAGTCAGTGATATCTGATAATGAAGTACGATGTAAGATAATGGATAGATTGAAGGGACCTAAATTAACATATGATATATCATCATTAGATTATTATGGATTCAACCATAATAATAAAACAGGTGTACAAGGGGAAGGAAGAGGAGGACTAGATAGGAGGAAGAAGAAGGTTGGACGATATTAATAATAAGTTATTATAATTACTATCAGGATGGTAGTGTTGTCATGATGAATGGTGATAGTAACAAAGGGAGTACTTCATCATCATTATCACAAGACAGTAATGGTCATGGTGGTCATGGTCATGGTGGTCATGGTCATGGTGGTGGTGATTGTTGGGTGAATAATGATATTCATCATCATCATCTGGTTATTGGGTCATTTGGGTATGGTTTATCAACATCATCAACATCATCATCAACATCATTATTATCATCATCATTGTCTAATAATAATAGTGTTGAAGAAGTAATAAGAAGAGAGTCGTTGATGACTACTCAAAGAAGTATGTTAAATTATGCTAGTGGTAGTGGTAATACTAGAAAACGAGATGATGATGATAATAAGAAGGCTTCCCAAGGAAGATTGAATACCACCACCATACATCATCATCATAGTAGCAGTAGTAAGAGGGCAGCATTGAAGGCAGTATTACATCATAAGATGAGTGAATGGAGAGTTGTAATAACAACAACAACAACTGCTACTACTACTAGTTCTCATTGTTGTTCTAATCTCAGCAAGGGTATAACGATGATTATGATGATGATGATAGTAAAGATAGAGTAGATCCCAGACCAGGGAAGGTTGTTGTTGATGGTGATGATGGTGATGGTGATGATGATGGTGATGGTGGTGATGATGGGGATATGATGGGTAATATAAAACATGAGTTGGGGGGTTTATCATCATCATTGACTATGCCGACACAAGAAGTCATCTTTCCTACTCAATCTAGCCCCACGATTATTGAATCTACTCCACCTACTATTACTAATATTATTATACAGGAGGAAGAGGAAGAGGAGGAGAATAAAGTTGGTGGTGATGAATCTGATGGTGATGATGATGTGACCTATGATGAATGGGAACAGCTTGATATGGAACTTGATAATAATAATACTAGTACAACACGATTCATACCTACTACTCATGAGAATAACAATGGATCACTCTTTCCTAGTACACTAGATCAAATGCTAATAAAACATCCTCTCCACAGAAATACTAATGATGGTAATGATGATGTTATACCATCTACAGTGGAGGTTCATAATGATGATGATGATGTTATACCATCTACAGTGGAGGTTCATAATGATGATGATGATGTTATACCATCTACAGTGGAGGTTCATAATGATGATGATGATGATGTTATACCATCTACAGTGGAGGTTCATAATGATGATGATGTTATACCATCTACAGTGGAGGTTCATAATGATGATGATGATGTTATACCATCTACAGTGGAGGTTCATCATGATGATGGTGATGTTATACCATCTACAGTGGAGGTTCATAATGATGATGATGATGTTATACCATCTACAGTGGAGGTTCATAATGATGATGATGTTATACCATCTACAGTGGAGGTTCATAATGATGATGATGTTATACCATCTACAGTGGAGGTTCATAATGATGATGATGTTATACCATCTACAGTGGAGGTTCATAATGATGATGATGATGTTATACCATCTACAGTGGAGGTTCATAATGATGATGGTGATGATGTTGAAGATACGTTGGAGTCCGAGTGGGATGAGTCCTTATCATCATTATCCTCTCCGCATCGTCATCTCTATCGTAAGCATAGGATGATGAAATCTCTACCCTCACCATCTCCTAAACGGCGGAAAACTAATCAATGTCGAAGAAGCCAAGAAGCCCCCGACGACGACGAAAGTGATGACGATTATCGTCGACGAGTCCAAGCGTCAGAGGAATCAAAAGGAGGCCATCATCATCATGGAGAAAAGTCCCCTAGTAGGTGCTGCTGGTGATGGTATTGTTGTTGTTGCTGTTGTTATATTGTTGCTTCTTACTATCATCAGAACCATATACAAATGAGCATGAGCATGAGCATGATGATGATTATGGTAATCTTCAGGATTATTAAAGATGCGATCATCAAGACGACATATGCTGTTGTTAAAGAGATTCCTTGATGATGAAGCTAGTGAGGAAAGTGATACTGGTCATGGTGATGGTAAGGGTGGTGGGAATAATAATAAGAAGAAGATTGATAATGATAATGACGATGATGATGATGTATCATCGGAGGAGTCATCGGATGTATCAGAATTAATGGCGGATATAGAGGAGGAGATAGCATTGAAGGATAGACTACTAGAGGATAGTGAAAAGTAATAGTAGTAGTATAAAGTTCATTCACCTTGCAACTCCTCTCCTTATGATGGTGATGATGATCATCATCATCAGATTGGCTGATTTCCATGCTCATTGGGAGATGAGGAGGGACGAGGCCCTGATTAAGGCAGTAGAAGAGGGTAAACTATTTACTAAGAAGGGATCTAGAACAAGAGGAGAAGCAGCAGCAGAAGATGGTAGTCTATCATACCATCAGAAGGGGAGTGGTAAGTTTTCTAATAATAACGGAAGACAGTATCGACTAAAGAGGCAGAAATTAGATGAAATGATCAAAGGTAGTAGTAGTAGTAGTAGTAGCATGATGATGATGATGAGGAGGAAGAGGAGGATTAGGAGGTTGGATTCTTGGTTACATACTCTATTATTGTAGAGGCTGAGAAGGATGTTGCACAAGAGTTAGATAGATTACATCATGAGGAAGAGAACTGTGATGATGATGATGATGATGATGATTTGGATTCAATGGATCTGGGTATGGACTTATCATCATCATCATCAAGATGATATGGTGGTGTTCATCAGGTAGTGATCTAGTTGTTAGTGAAGATGATATCATCAGTGAAGAAGGCAGTGATGGTGGTGATGGTGGTACTCTTAGGGATGATATCAAGTCGATATCATCCACGAAAGTTATTATGGAAAGATTAAAGGAAGCACGGTAGTAGCATCAAATATGATGATGATATATAACAATATTGGTAATAATAATCAGGAGAGAAGAAAGATTAAAGAAGATGAAAGAGGTTGAGAGGAGGAAGGTAGTACTTTAGCCATTTAAACCATAATCATAATCATCATGCTTATGATTATCCTTGATGTTGTTGTTGTTGCTAATCTTTGTCAGAAAACAATGAAGGAAGTGAAATCACAGTTGGAGAGTGGTTTATCTACACTGGAAGATAGGGAACAGGAACAATACATAAAAGTAATGAATAATAATAAAAGGATATCCACTACTACTACGATATGCACGTGTAGATACATCATCATCATACTAGTACTACTACTTCAAGGAGTTCCATAGGCCTTCCTGACACCACTGCCAAACACTATCTGGAACAGGAGAATCATCATAAGCAAGGGGTGATGAAGAAAAAGAAGAAGGTGATGGTGGTGGCGAAGTCTCCAGGGTTATCATCATCATCAACTATTATATCACATGAAGTATCGGATACTCTTCCTCTCCCTCATCACCATAGCATCACCCGTTTAACCAGCCTTGATAACACTACTGGAGATATCGTACAGCATCATCAACGACAACGACAACAACAACGACTAGATGATGAGGATGAAGAAGAAGAAGAGCATAGTCGTCCCGTCGGAGACAATGTGCCCTGCCGGTTGAGTATGCATGAGTCTGATAACCGATCATCATCCACATTATCATGTATCCATCCAATAGTAGAGGTGATATTAATAAATTATACATCAGTACAATCAACTACTACTACTACTACTACTACTACTACTACTACTATTTACTCTCAGGACCACACATGTAAAACTGAATCAACAACAAGAGCAAGAGGAGCGGCAGCAGCAACAGAGGCAAGAATGACTCGTATCGCCCCCCATCACCCTGGAGTTGGAATAAGTTCATCTAATAGACGATGGAGACTTCAAGATGATGATGATGGTTTGAGCTAGCTACAATTGCAATCTTATTGAATCATCATGATGATGCAAACTTCGTTGCTAAATGGTGATGATGATGCTTCATATTTCCAATTAATCTCAAAGATACCTTCGTTGTTGTGAAGAATAAATATTGGGGAATCTGATATGGTTGTTATACATACATAATACATTGTGAACAACGATTGAAGTACGACTTGTCATATCAGTATCGATCTCTATCAATAATCCTCCAGGATGTAGTGGTGAGGACTCAACAGGTAGATACTTAAAGTATAAAGCTTATGACTACGTCCACTAGGGACTTAGCTAAATGAAGACGCCTCAGCGTGGATTGTGTACAGAGGGACAGCATAATGGGACAACTTGCACATTATCGCCTACAACCTTACATCCTTCCTTCTTTTTAGTAGAAGCCTGATAATCACTTACAATCATATGATGTGGTATTCGTAAGGCCAAACGTTAATCTTTTAACCTTCTTCCTAACTCTTTTGGATCTCCTCAAAGTAACATGTCTATCATCGACTTCTTCATCACCGTTCAAGTAAAATCTAGGCCCCTGCTCATCATCTGAATCCACTACATCGCATGTAGCTGTAATCCACTCAGCTTCATCTTGGCTCAGTCCAAACCATGAATCATTTTCTTTCACCATAGGCTCGGTCATATCTTGTTCTACTTCTAGTCGGGTATCTGGTTGTATATAAGCCAAGTTGACAGCCATTTTCACAAAACCCTTCTCAATAACCGCCGTGGATGGGAACTTCTCATTTGGAGGCTTAAGAACCATCCATCCATCTTCCCATGGGTCCTGTAGCTTCACATCAACTCCCATAAGATGCCGTCGTCGTCTATACTAAAGTACCATCTGACCACCGTAATATAATATTGGTTTCTGGATACGATGCCGTCGATCATAAGCAACCTTATTGCTGCGAAACTGCTGATTTTGAACACCCCTAACATCGTCCCAAGCATCGTAAAGCTTCCGTTGATCATAACCATTATGCTTCGCCAATCCATCCATGGTAACGGGATTACGGCCAAAAAGCATATAGTACGGTGACTGCGCTTTATGTGGGCGACAATTATATACATATACCAATTTGGGTAACGCCTTCTTCAAATCTCCTGGTGAATGCAGTCGGTGCAACCTTGCCAATCGATGTAACGTTCGATGTACCGGTTCAGCAATAGAGTTTCCTTGTGGATGATAGCTCGTCGAATTCTCTAACTTAGTACCATATGAATCCAAGAACGACCGCATCTCTGACGAGTTCAAATTTTTAGCATTATCACATATCAATACTCTAGGAGGTCCAAGACGACTGAATGACCGTTGTAGAGCAGATATGATACTTGCCGTAGTCATTGTATGTAATACTTTCCAACATAAAAACCTTCGAGAACTGATCAATAAGCGTGAGCAAATGTAATCCACCATAACTCACGATATCAGCATGCAACACTTGCCACGGGTATGTACTTCGACTCGTCGTTCTCATAGGCATTACGCCAGCAGACCTCTTGTTCATGAGACACCTTCCACATTTATTTACAGCATCAGCAGCCACTTTCCATATAAAGAGTAACACACCAACTTAACCATAGCCACAATACCTTCTACATCAGAGAGACCAATAGCATGTGCTTTCTTCACCACACCTTCCGCCATCGCTGAGGCACCACAGGTAGATACGGTGATGTCCTACCCTGTGACCATTGCCAATATAAAAGACTATCGATGACTCGCAGTTCGTGCGACACTCTCGACAAATGAGTCAGCAATCGAGAGTATGGCTGTATATAGTAACCTTTCCGCCATCTACTAATCACGTACTGAATATCTTCATTCTCCTCCTGGGCTTCTGCAACATCAGCTGTATCAAACTTGAGCACCAAGGGTAGGTCTGAGTAACATGAATCACAAATGTGGCCATCAATTGTGAAATACCATTCAGAAGCTCCTTTCGCCACATTAGTAGATACCACCGGCTCCTTATCATACTCCTTTAGAGTGTCTCGCTCACTTGCTCGTTGTAGATGATCACGATAGCTCAACAGCTTCACAAAATAGGGATGTTTTGTCAGTCTATCAGCCGAATTCCGCTCAGTCGCTACTACTTCGGCAGGTAACCGTGACCAATCTGACGGAGGGTACAATTCTTGGATGAGGGACAAGTACTTGGTCAAGATTGGACAAGGCTCTCGCTTTGCAGTACCAACCACTCTTCTAGTCCTCAATATTGTGGCCACTGTGGTGTTGTCAGTCTGCACATGAATAGAGATGAACTTCTTCGATGCCGCTATCTCCAATTCATAAACCGCAGCAAGACCCATATACACGGCTTGAAGTTTCTTGACCGAGATGGCAATGTCAGCTTTCGATCTCGGGAAAACCATAGAACCTTCATCATATAGGTCACCATTTTGCCGAAGCTCATAAGCAGCTATCCATTCACTGGCATCCGCTACAACAGTAATTTCACCTCGTAAATCATAACGACGGGGTAATCTAAGCGTACCATTTTCCAGCACCAAATTATGCCACTCATATAGAAGCTCTTGCAGTAGTCTCAGCACTGTAGTTCGCCATGACACTTCTCGTGAATGAAGTGCCTTAGCAACCATCTTTTGTAACATGCGCTTAAAGAGGCTGTTCCATGCACCAGTGACAATCAGGTCGGGCAGCTTCCCCAGAAGTGATAAGGCGTCGCCATATGAGTAGTTGTGGTACTAGTCAAGGCATCTCGAAACTTGATCCACTGTACATCAGGAAACTTCACGAAGTGACCATAGTCGGTATAGATAATGCCTAGTGTGGAGACGTCACCGGGCAACACATTAATGTAGTGTCGCTTAGCATTATTGAAGTGAATGTCATAGTCTCCTGAAATAGTCCCTGATAATGGCTCAGCAATAAACTCATCATCAAGGTTCACTTTGTCATCAAGATGAACAACATCATCCATGAATGACTCCGAACGGCAAAACTCATGCTGTTCCTTCGATTTTCTCGTTGAGCTGCTTCATCAAATTCTTGCTTATAGTGCACTCTAGAATCTGAGGTGCAGGAAGATAACCGCACTACATATAACTTGTCCCAAAAGAAACCGCAGTGAAGAAAAATTACTTATCACCAAATCTAACACCATTCAATGGATGATTGGACGTATAGATTCGCAAGCTAAAATAAGCGTCATGCAAATCCGTAAAAGCACTCGATTGAACACTCGCGTACAAATAATTATATCACGGAGCTTTTTCTGCTCAAATTGTATCAGTACTTTAGATCTTCGTACAGAATTATTAAGTAATGTATATGTAAATACTGGACGACATTTCTTAGAACCATACACTAAATACCACTGAGTAACTATAGGATGATATAAGGCAATATCTTGCATTCCATCACTATCAACATCACTCAGCCATACCAACTTTCCAGCATTTATCCACCTTCCGAGATAAGGTAGCACCTCACTCGGTAGAGTATTATTACCGAGCTTACGATGCAGTCTCAGTTGAGACCTCACAGCTGCCACAGTTGGCTTCACGATAACACCAGGGTTAATACCCGTGAATATTTTCTTCTTACCAGTTACACCATTTACACCAACGGATACAACGAAATACTCACTCTTGTAAATGTATTCTTGGTGATACCACTCATTGGGGTAAGTAATCCAACCATCACCTACATAATTTTTCATACATATCATAGAACTCACGCAGCTTCATTGTTTGTGCATTAGCAAGCAGATCACTTAGATCCATCGACTGCACCGTATGAACGTTCTCATTCTTACTCTTACATACATACCGTGGGGGTAAAATACTATAGTCCAATATAACCTTATGAGGAATAAGGAAATCAGTACCCGAAATAAGACAATATAAGACCGATCAATATCAACCCGACCTTTATCACGTCCTTCTTGTTGCAGGCCAGCAGTACAATCCCTGGCCAAATGACCAAGGTGACCACAAACATAGCACCGGTTATACCATTACGGGTCTTGTTGTGATCGGATACCAGCAGCCGAACTATTTACCATAACCGTAGTGTTCTTCAAGAGTGGCAGAAGAACACATTCTTCTAACGTAGGCAACTGCAGTACCCTCCGTTTACTGGCAATCTCCTGAGGTATACCCCTCAAAAACTGACCTTTAGCCACACCATCAATCACAGTATCTAGTACCCAAGTACCTTTAACTGTCAACATTCTCGTTGCCAACCGCTTAAGATCATAGCTGTATTCAAGTAAAGTCTCTGAAGGAAACAAGACTAGAATTGAAGACTGGAAGTCCTCGAATACATCCTTCGTCAATAGCCGTTGTATCAAGTGGTCTTTGATCTTATTCGAATCCTCCTTATCTTCAGGCGTCATACTATCATATGCCCCCAAGACCGAATTTTCTAGAAACAACGGGACATACTTATAGATCTCATCACTGGACCACCCATAGAACGCCGCAATAGTATGGTACTTCTCGAACCATGCTTCCACCTTCGCAATCGTCAGTCCCTGAACGGTTAGTTATCAACTACTATTCCTAGCGAAGCTCTTAATCTTGAGCTGCTCTCGAAGATCTCGAAACTTGAGCTCTGTCGCGAGAAGAGAATATAAGAGTAGCGTACCCAATGAAATGAGTGATCACAATTTGGACGCTGGGTCGAGAAGTGCTGCTTCTGGTTCCCGTCGTGGTACTGGCATGTCGAGTTCTTGTTTGGTTAGCGGTACTACGTCCACCAAACTACAGCGTTTGGCTATTTACAAGGCTATTAGTTTGGTCCTGGTCGAACAGTTGCGTACGTCCGATTCAGACCGCGTCCATACCCGTGACGCCCCCATCAGCTGAGCAGGTAAGTTAACTCACCGACGTGCCTCGTAGCAGGCTTTATCGACAAAACCTGCTGATTCGCGCTCAGTGAACTGTACAGAAGACATCGCCTCACTCCGGGCTACTGTTGTCATCGTCGACGTCTACGCGGGTGCTACCATGTCCGAAAGGACTCTCCGTCTAGTTATTACCAAAGGTGAATCTTGGCATATGGATCCAAGATAGTCCGTTAGTGAGGTCCGTGACCGTCTAGTGCTCTGTGCCAAGCATCCGACCCAGCGAACTCATCGATTCATAATCGATCCCGGATCAGTATAGTGTGTAATACGCTTCGGGTTTGTAGTCTGCCACTTATTGACCAACTGCTAATTATTCCTGGTTTGTTAACTCATCTAACCACAAGTTTCCAATCATATGAACACATATGATAGGTCCCGGAGTAAGCTTCAGAGGCCTTGAGAATGAAGGATTCAGATACTGGGTATGGATTGCAGGCCTGGTGTGATCCAATAGCGATCGACGATCACGATGGTAGGGATGCCTCACGAGGGACAAAGCCAAGCTCGTCATCGAGATAGGCCCATTCTGGCAAGTGTTACAGAGCACCCATGTGACGTTGTCTTAGGTGGTAGAATCGAGCACGACTTCTGAGTAGTTCGAGAACTATACAGTCCCCTGAATAAGACTTTGGCAGTTCAAGTAAGATGGTTCAACATCGCTGGGGCATCGCAACAGGGAGTCACGTAGCGCGGAAAAGCTCAGGCGACCCATGACGGATTGAATAAAGATCTATGACCGGCTGTACACATTTAAAAAGAGTGGGTCCCTGATTGGACCTATAGACGAAAAAAACACACGATTCGCGTGTGATATGGGTGGACCTGTTACATAGATAATCTTCTTTGCCACATTAACGCTCGTCTCGTGCCATCTTATCTTCGTTGTTTCAGGGAACATCGAATAGAGAGACGTTCGATTTGTACTACAGCATGATTGATATACCTTTATAAGTTATACATATTTACCGAATTGTACTTCCTTCAGCATACTCTGGTGGATATCCTTTGCACGATGTGAAGAAGACTGATCCCCATGGCCAGCGAGCGTGCAGAGCAAACAGTAGCTCGTCTGGTTCTAAACTATGCATGGCAGAGGCTCGCCTTTGCAGCAAATAAGACGTTCATTTATTTCTGTATTAAATGCAATGAGGAGCGTTAAGAACAGGTCTCTCTACGATGTGTTACTCGCTAGTTGCTAGTCGACAATGTATTTAACTTCTATGAAGCCATGATGCAGAGACTGATTATCCGTGTGATTTTGGCCAAAACACATCATCTGTGACACAGATACCAAATCGAGTCAAACAGAGAGCATGGACCTTGATGGTACTAGCGTCGCCAGTCAGATTCATGTATGTTGGTGGGTGCCGAATGCACTGACAATATGTAGCATAAGAACATAGTAGTGAATCGACAAACCGAGTTCATGAAGTGGGCTTGTCCGCTCGCACGTGCGTTACCGTCAGCGTACTGCGAGGATCAAACCCCATAAGTCCAAACTGATACATCCAAACCGACGCTTTGTTATTCTCGGTTGAAATTGTTGGAGGTGTGGTTTCTGGGCTGTCCATCACCAGGCTTGGTCTTGGCGATGGCATAACTCTCGCAACCTCCCCAGATCTTCTCAGCGGCCTCATCAAAATCGATAATAGCCGATTCCGAATCGATGTGCGTCTTGCGATTAAGTGTCAAGGTATTGTTAGTTTCTTTTTGTGTGAATCGTGTCTCCTCAGTGACAGGAATGTTGAATTACAGTGCCAATTTAAGATGACCTTGGTGGGTTCTATTTTTTTGAAGTCGCGGAAAAATTGACTGTTTCAGAAATTTTACTAAAGCGAGCGAATAATGAAACGACTCTGATATATTTTCTCGAAATCTCACAACCTGAGTCGCAGTAATAACCGAAAAATCGAAAAAATACTGTATGTTCTATCATTTTGTGAGGGGGTTTACTCAACTGTATGAGCTCTCTCAAAAGGTCTAAGTTCAGGTTGCCGGAGGTCTTCGCAACGTCGGGATGGATAGAGGCTTGTAAATGGGTGGTTGCTACTCTCAATGCTGCCGACCGCTTCCATGGCGAGTCTCCAGCGGTGGATGATCTTATGAGGACTTAGAGAGAGAATTCCGATGGCTGTTTCGAGAGATACGGTAAGGTTAGGCCCGTTCCGAAGGAGTGCTTGCGGACCCAACCGCAAGTTGCGGTTGGGTGCAGCTTGAAGATGATCCATCGAGTTGGCCGCTATTTATCCCGGGAAAGTTATCTAATAACTTTGCGTCGAGTTTAACGCTCCTCTCATAGAGTTGTTAGCTGTCATCTCTCCCTCCGGAGTGTTTTCTATCCAGCGCAGCTCGCGAAGTTTTGCCAACTTGACGGGACACCCCTCCAACTTGCAAGCTCTCTAGTGGCGGCGATAGTCGGCTTTCGTCTTGCGACATCGCTTTTCCCCCATAGGCACGGAGATGAAGAGGATAAAATAAAATCGGAAAAAGGCACGGAGATGGAGAGCGAGTACATGAGTTGTGCGAGTCTGTTTCAATTAGTCATACCACATCCTTCAAAGCAAGAG